CCATGTGAATGGGGGCTACCTAGCTTGGCTGGAAAGAATACTGGACTAAAAAATCAGATTATATGTACGTGAGGAAGCATGGCTATTTACAGAAAGAGAATGGGGGAGTAGATGCGTTTTTGGGAGTTTATGCCATTGGTAAAAAGAGAGTTGATGAAAATTTCTGGGAAGGCATATCCTAAAAACTTATGATGTCTTTCATACTCTTTGGAAGTCACTCCCCAACTTCAGAACTTAGCAATCCCTCCTGCCTAGATAATGGAATCTATTCAAAGCCTTCTGCATTTGGTCCTAACCTTCATCTGCAACATGGCTCTCCAGAGCCATCTCTGAACTCTAGCCAGCAACCCTCTCCTTCTCACCACTGTTCATAGTGTTCAAAAGCCAGCAACAATCACTCCTATGTCACCCTCAGCCCACGTACTTACCATCCTCTAAGCAAAAGCCGTATCTTTTTCATAACAGCGTCTTGAGTCCCACATCTCATAGTGCATTCCTCTTTTCTTCTTTCCTTTGGCAAACTTGGTTTGTTACTGATTGACTGCTTGTCTCTCTTTGCATATTTATTTTATGTATGTGTTGTCATCTTCAGTTGGATATGAGGCTTTTTCACAAGAGCACCAGGTGGTGTATCATTTTGTCTGCTTCTCAGGTCATCGTCTGCATAGTGCCTTGTTGCCTAGCAAATACCCCTTGTGTGCTGTATGGATGATGGCAGACCTCCACCACAAAACTATTTTGAGACACTCCAACCTGAGGTGGGGTGCACTGGTCCTTTCACCTGTATAACAGGGTGAGGGTTTTAGGACGCTATCCTGGCTCAGCTTTGGAGTGACTGTTGTCCTGTGCTGTGGAAGTACAGGCGCCCTATCTCATTTTAAATCTTCCAAGAACCTCTGAACCCAGCTCCTACTGAGCACAGCTCTCCTGGAAAGCACAGCAGGCAGCACCAGGGCTGAGAGTGCTCCATGTGTCTCTGCAGGGCCCAGGCTTGGGGTTATTAAAGCAGAGTGTTTCTGTAATTGCAGCTCAGTGGGAAAGCTCCCCGTGCCACCTTCCAGTCTGTTGACCTCAGCTTCCTGCTGAACAGGCTGGGAATGTATCTGTAAACCAAGCTAGGACTGCAGGGACAGCTTGAGTTCCTTTGATTCGTCTGCCCTTGTTCCCTAGTTTGTCTGTGTTTACATAGAAAGGAGATGATATATATCAGAGGCGCCCCAGGTGCAGCAAGAGGAAGACTGTCATATACGTGGGTACGGCTGGATCCCTGTGACCTCTTAGGTCACTTTTCTGAAGGATTTAGGCCAAGGGTCATATCTGGACTTTTTGAAATGTGTGCTTCATGTGAGTCATTTTATTTGCTTTATGCTTGTGGTTAGTTTTCCTCTTGAGATAAGTATGTCAGTCTTTATTTTGGTTTTCTTGTTTCAGGAGGCTCATCCTTCAATCTCACCATACTGCAAGCATTGCAATGTCACTTAGGACTTTTTCTCCTTTGTGCTGTCTCCCCCCCAACTCTTTGTATAATGTTTGGTTCCCAGCAATTAGGTGATTACAAATCACTCTGGCTGCTGCTATCTGGTCACTTACACCCTGTCACTCTATACTCCCAAACCTTTACTATTGAAAAAAACTTTTTTTTTTTTTTTTTTGAGACGGAGTTTCGCTCTTGTTGCCCAGGCTGGAGTGCAATGGCGCAATCTCGGCTCACCGCAACCTCTGCCTCCTGGGTTCAGGCAATTCTCCTGCCTCAGCCTCCTGAGTAGCTGGGATTACAGGCACGCGCCACCATGCCCAGCTGACTTTTTGTATTTTTAGTAGAGACAGGGTTTCACCATGTTGACCAGGATGGTCTCGATCTCTTGACCTCGTGACCCACCCGCCTCGGCCTCCCCAAGTGCTGGGATTACAGGCGTGAGCCACCGCACCCGGCCTGAAAAAAACTTTAAGAAGATAAGTGTTCTGGCTTCCTGACTCCTCTCCTCCATCTTCTTGCCTTGTGGAAGCCCTTTCTAACAAGTTTGGGTAATTAGGAGCCCATTACTAGCCCGGGCTCTGCCCAGGACTAATACCAAACCTCTGACTCTCAATCTCCAACTCGCCCTTTGGTGGGCTGGCTCCCGCCTAGGTACTTTTGCTTTCTCCTCCTGTTCCTGAGTGTGAGTGCGTGTGTGACTGAGTTTATGTGTAGTCCCATGGCTTAACGGCTATGGGGCTTGCGTGGGCCTCCACCCGTGGTTCCAAGGGGACGTCATAAGGCATAATGGCGATTCACCTCAGGACCATGAGTTCTGAGGTGACCAGGCCTGGGGGTTATATGGGTACACCTTAGCCAAGATGCCCCGAAACATCCCTCTGGGGACGTGGCCAGGAAGGCATCAGACTGATCTCCCATCTGGGGGCACCCACCATTTATTCGTCTGTAGATTCTGCCTGTAGGTTCTCTCACCCATCCCCCCTGGGAAAACAGCTTTTCTGCCTGTGTTGGATATAATTTTTTTGCATGCCCACATCGTTTTTGAATATATCTCCTTTCAAATACAAAGTGCCCTGTACATGTCATCTGCTAACACAGAAAATTTTCTCCTGTGACTCATTTTTTGCTTCGTGTCAACCCCCAGTTGTCTTGCAGTAGTTTCCTGGAGTGTCTAATCTCCTGCATGGGTTCTGAGCACAGAAAAAGGTCTTGAAGAGCAAATAATGCAAGCTTTGCATATCTCTCAGTACACAAAGGATGCTTCAAGCATTTTTGCAAGACTGCAAGGTTGATGTCAGGAGGCTCACTCCCTCTGGTTTGCCCCATATTTGAGACCCTGCCCTACCCTGTGGGTTTGCTACATTATGGTGTCTCCTCCCAGAGGTGTGAATTATCCAGCATTCATACTTTTCGCTGCACCTGCATGATCCTAGCTTGGGATCTGTTTCTCTTACCTTTTGGAAGTCATGTGGCCACTCAGACATGGTGTCTACGCAATCAATCCATTAGTTTTAGAACTCATTTTACTATATTGGCCAATGGAAGCTCTAGAGAGCTGAAAAATTTGAGTGTTTCTGTTATACAGCCAGATTGTAAAGGTGCTATGGCCTAATGGTGCAAGAAAGATGAGGAATGGAGCAGGTGTGGTCTAGAATGGGAGTGGTGACTGGTAAACTCCTGTAGTGGTCCCAAATTGCCTTCTCACTGTTTCTTCTGCACAGCTAAAAAGCAAAAGGCAGTGTCTCTGTTGTGTCAGGTGCAGAGTGGGTGATTCAGCAGGTGTCTTTGATGATTGGGAAAACTCCAGAAAGGATAGAAGCAAATTCTCTGGCCTTATATTTATAGCTACCTCCCAAGTTGAGAAAAATAGATATTTCTTTGGATTTCCTACATTGCTGACTGGGGAAGTAGAACTGCTAACATGGTGGTCTTTGAGCTGAGGAATGAATAAAAGTCAACTCCTTCCACCTGCTCCTTTGAGAGGAGATTACCAAAGCCTAGTAACGTAGAGTCACACAGCTACCCAGTGAGGACCCCTGACCTCCTCGCCAGTCTTCTAGGACACCATGCACATTGCTTAGTTACATTTTAGTCCAACTCCCACTAACCTGATGAAACAATCCACCATCCCCTTTCCCCTCCTGGTTTATTAAGTGGAACAGCAGCTGCTCCTGAGCCCCGCAAGTTGGAGATCTGAACATCATCTTCACTCTTCTCTTTCCACCCTAAAAGACTGAGTGACTGAGCTGCATTGATTCTGCCATGTCTGAAGATGCTGTTGTCAGTTCCCTCCCTTCCATTATCTTACATCTGCATGAATCTTTTCTAGAACTGTGGGTGTATTCCCTGCAGCCTTTTCTGGCTTGCCTGAACTGTCCGGCACTAAATTCCACTGGTAGATCTACCTCCCTGTTGCATCTCCCTGTGTTCCTATGGACCTGTCCCTATCTTTCAGTCTCCCTGGACTCTGTTTCATGAGATAATCTACCTGAGAACCCAGGTGAGGAAAAGCAGTGACTTTATGAGGAGAAAGCAAAATTTATAGTTCAGTTACACGTGTATCAGGAGAGACAGGGGGATTACTGAGATGTCATAAAGTCTAGCTTTGCTTTGTCTAGTAGCTAAACAGTATACACTTTGATATATAAAGCTGCCAATTTTTGTACACGTACATTGTATACTCATATACATTTTTATATATCATCTTAGGCTGTTCATGCTTCCATAATGAAGTACTGTAGACTAGGTGTCTTAAACAACAGAAACTTATCTCCCACAGTTCTGCAGGCTGGGATGTCCATGATAAAGGCTCCAGTAAGGTAGGTTTTATTCTGAGTTCTCCTTTCATGGCTTGCAGACAACCCCCAACCTTTCTGTGTGCTTAAGTGCAGAGAGAGAGGGTGTGTGAGTGTCCACACCCTCTGGCCTCTTCATGTAAGGTCACTAGTCCCACTATGAGGACCCCACTCTCGTTATGCATTTAAACCTAATGATTTCCCAAATACCTTGCCTGCTAATACCAGAATATTGGAGGTTAGAGCTTTAATATATGAACTTGGTAGGGGGCATGCAGCATTTAGTACATAGTGTACACACATAAACAGATATGTAAACATTATAATATGATGCATTTGAACTTTTCATCATATTTGAAAGAATAATGTGCTAAGGCATATTTTATTTAGGGAAATGCTGAAATCTTTTCCCAAGAGACTCCATTTAGAATATGATTTTTATTAACATTGATTATTCTTTTTATTATAATTTCATGCTGTTAGGATTCTCACTTCCAGATCAGAAAAATGAAAGCAAAGCTTATTTGAACCTGGTCTCTTCAAGCAGAGGAAGCAAAATTTTCCTGTAAAACTAGAATTTAGATGATAGAGGATGATTCCGGATGTTGTTACAATTAGGAATAACATCCATTGACAATTAAAGCAATATGTCCATCTTTATATATTGTGTAGAAACTGATAATTGTGTATGCATTGGAATTATGCTTCTTAAACCTATAGCAATTTTCATGTCCACTTTAAGAGAATGAAGAAACATTGAAGAAAAACTGTTTACTTAACATCACACCTCCCCAGACCATGCTTGCCAACCTCTTAAGACTCTAAATATTACCTTCTAATCACTGAACAATGATTAAAAGGAAGGTATTGTGGTAAATTCTGTGGATGGCTACAAAGGAGGGAGGGAGGGGGAAAAAATTAGAGAGGGAGGGGGAGAGAGGAATATTCTTCCAGGAAGAATTATTGATCTAGTTAAATATATAAGGCAGTCAAACTGGTATGATAGCCAGCACTAAAACCCAGCTTCTTAAATGTTACAAATGAATGGCAGAGAAAATGCCTAGTTATTTGAATGAGATCTGTGTGGGTTGACTGGGATGACCATGAAAGATTTTATGGAGCAAATGACACTTAAATTTTGCCTTTAGAATCCAAATAATTTATCTTGTTCTTTTTACCTCTGCCTCTTCCAGGGCCCTAATCCTAGGTGATTTATAACCATCGACTCTCACACTGGAGAGGAGTTGGGCAGGCCGCGCTGGCTGTGCTAACAGACCCCTTCCAGCTACTGCCTCACACAAGTCCCTTACTCAGTGGTTCTGCTTTCCTGAGAGCCTCACATAATCATCAGCTCTGCAGCAGAATCTTCCGCAGACTCAGCTGTGGGCCGTGATTATGTGTCTTAACTATTCTTATTTAGAGTGAGTCATTTAATTCAAGAGAAGATGATCTATATTCTTTTAAGTTTCATTAGCAGCCATTAGAATGCTTAATCTAGTGTATCTTTTTTTTTCCCCCTAGTCTGAAGCACTGCCATTAGTTTAGATAGCACTTATTAAATTTTTAGCCTGCCAAGCCACTGTGGTAACATGAAATATTGAAGTTTTGCTGCTTTGATTCTAAGCATAAAGTCATTATCACAAAGCATATAGTCACCCTGTGTTTTGCACACCTGCGCAGGCTTGACTTAGCAGAGCCCGTGCCTCCTCTCCTCTTCGTGATTTCTTGTCACAAATTTCTGTTGCTTTTGTTTTGTGCCAGTGATTTTCATTTCATGTTAAATCTTCATTAACTTAAAAGGTGAGTAGATGTAGTACATGAACACCGCCAGGAGAACCTGTTTGAAAGTTGGACGTAATTTCAAAAGTGAGCATTGCAGCATTTTGAAAGAACTCATTTGCCTTTTGGGATTTAAAAATAACTTTGTAATTATGGATTGTTTCAGCATAGATACATTTTTAAGTAACAAGCGCCTGAAAATCTTAACACAGTAGGCCCAGCACAAAGCAGTCTGGAATAACCTTGAGGAGTTCACAGTTCTGCAAAGACTGATAAAATCTGTCAAGGTGACTTGAAAGGCATGTAGACGGCTGGAGTTTGAGGTTCTGTGTTTTCCCCTAAAGCGGTTGATGACATTTTTTGATATGTAACTCAGGCCAGACAACTGTATTTCTTATCCTTCTTTAGGTGTCTGTGATGTCCTTAGCCAAAAAAGAAAACATTGGAGAGACTTTCAGAATTGCCTCAAGTCACTTTTTCTAAAACTAAACTTGCTCATGGTCTTTAACTTCCACATCTGTGAACAGAGATGCCCCTTATTTTTTTTATTTTAAAAAATTTAATGCTTTCTTTTGCTGGTTTGGGGTTTTAAGGATATATTATTTATAAAAAGTGCAGTTTTTCACTCACCTTAAAGTTTACTGGCTAAAGTACCTTATCTTTTGTGTTGTCTTGAGACGGGGCTTTAATATTTCATTGGTAATAAATTCCAAAAGATGAATAAGAATTGCAAAGGAGGGTTTTGCTTTGTAGATTTATAGTGACTCTGTCTGGACTTGGCTGCTGCTGTCATATCTCAAGAAGGGCATTAGGACTCGCCAGCTTACACATTGCCTGGATCCTAGAATGCTGGTGAGCTTCTGCATGCTGCTGGACTGTGACCATGGCTTTGATGTTTCTGTGAAAGTGTATGTTTCACTTTCACATCCTTGGTCGTAATTACTTCTTTAGTTTATAGATACTACCCACATTTTGTTAACACTATCATCATCTGTTTTTCACTGAAAGTCCCAGGAATTCTGTGGCACGAGGCATCACAGGCTCAGTAAACTTGAGATGTTGGATTAAACGTTGCTTAAAATGCCCCCCCAGTGCAAATTACAAGAAAAGAAAATACATTTAGTGATTATTTGACAGCCCTTTACAGTTTAAAGAGCACTTTGATATCAATGATCACATTAAAGCAATTCAATTAGAGGGTAATCAATTATCACCCTGATTTTATAGACAAGAAAACTTCATCACAATGACATTAAATAGTTTGTCCAGCAGCTTACCATAAAACCTGAGCCCAGGGTAGAACTCACGCCTTTCTATTCTAGGGCCAGTGTTGCTTTCATTAATCTGTGCCATTTCCTCCATACCCATCACTGACAAACATTCTAGTAAAAAATAAATCCTCATTAAAAGGAAATATCTATACATTTTATAGTAATTACATCATGCTCTCCAGGAGCCACAGTCATGTGGAAGGAATGAAAACGACTAGGCAATGTGAGAAGTGCTATTAGAATTAGATAAATGGATATACCTATTCCTTTGAGTCTATAGAGGGAAATACTGACTGCTGTTATTTGAGAGGTTTCCAGGTAAAATGATTTTTCAATAGGGGCCTGATGAATAAATATGCAGATAAAAATCCTCTAAGGTAGGAAAGAGCATAGGCAAACACATAGTGGCCAAACAAGTGTGGTCTGTGGTTGACCACAGGAAGAAGTGGTAACAAATGAAGTGGAACAGGTAGGCTTTACAATTAATTTCAGACCAACGCTTAGTGTCCAGTGTATGACCTTGTTTTATTGTTGAAATGTCCTTAATTTTTAAATAAAGCTAAGTTCATGTGTGCAGCAGTGATAAAACACCAACATTTAAGACCCGACGTGAAAACTCACATCTGTAATCCCAGGGCTTTGGGAAGAAGAAGCAGGAGCATTCGTTTAGCCCAGGAGTTTGAGACCAGCCATGGTGACAGAACGAGACCCCATCTCTACTAAAACTAAAATTAAAAAAAAAAACAATATTTAAAATAATATTAAACTAATATGACCTTACAGGTGTATTTATAAAACTAATTATTTCCCACAGTATTTAGAACAGGCTGTGCACATAGGGGCTCAATGAGTATGTGATTTGACACATGATATGTGCTATAAACATGAGTCCACTCACATGTATGCATTCAAACATACCTGGTCTAATGTTGCAGCATATCTCTTCTTTAAATTGGAAGGGATTTGTGTCTTTGAAGTCTGTGCTGACAGAGCCAACCTTGTAAAAGAGCCTTCTGCTGTTAATGCTTGTTTATGCTGTGGAACTTCACTGCTCCTTCCCCTAAACCCTGTGGCCTCCTAATGAAATGCAGAATACTTAATCAAAGTTACATACGGTGGCAATTGCAGAAACTCAAAGTGGGAAAAAGAGAAGAAAGAGGTGAGCCACTGACCTACATTTATATATTGTGCCGATGAATTAGGAGGTAAAAGTTTCAGTGTATTTCTTCCTTTTTTTTTTTTTTTTTTTTTTTTTTTTTTTTTTTTTTTTTTTAACTTGACAGGCCTAGTGAAGATAGTTGCTCTTTAAAAGGGAGGTTCATCTGCCTACCGTAAGTGTATCTCTGGTCTGGTTTATAACTAAAGGTTTACACTTTTACATTTGTGAGTTGACAGAAGTCTGGCAGCAATGTCGGAGTGTCTAGGCACCCCAGAATGTGTGTAACTGAGCCTTGGAACCTGCATGAAAGGTCACTCAGTTACATGGGAGCTCTCTAAAAGATGCACTAAAGTTGAGAAGGGGGATCATCAGGTCTAGGTCCTCCATACCGTGTGTTGAAATTGCACCCACTTGTTATTCTGAGAAAGCCAGTGTGAAGTCATAGGAGACCTTGGCAAACAGCCATGCAACCTCACTCTTTCCTTAGTGAAATTTTCTTGGCTTTGCTAGTGCTATGAAATCATAGAAATTAAGATGGGAAAGGTCTGTTTCATCTGATGATCTCACCCATCCCTTTACTCTCTGGCAGCATGGGGATTACTCCTTATGCTTGATTCTCTAGTGCTTTGTCCAGTCCGCTTTTTAATGATGTGAGTGATAAGGTATTGATCTTCCCTAGGGCTGAATTTCTTTTGACTTGTTAAAGCTGCCATTCTGCACACAAACTCTGGTAGCACCTTGTTAAGATTCTTCTACTGAATTCTGCATGCCAACAATCTCATAATGGGGATGGTTACTCTATTAGTCACACTTGTTTTGTCTTCACATCCCTCTCCCTACCTCTTTTTGACAAAGAACAACAGTAGGGACCATCTTGAGATTTAGCTAATAAAGAGGTGCGTGATTGTCTTCTTTCACGTTGAAATTGTTTCTCATGGTTCACAACAATTCCTGACATCTTTAACCATATCCAGCTAACGATATTATATTTTGTTATAGTAGATTGCCCTACTTTCACATCTAGATACGATTCCACACTATCTATAATTGGTTTACTTTCTTAATGTACATCTCAGCCATGACTATAGCATGGAATAATTGTTGTTCATACTAAAAATTTAAAGGAGACCATACTGAACTTGAAATGCCAATGTTCATGCTTAATTTAACCTCTTATTTTTTATTTTTACATCTTTCTCCCAAGTTTCTCTTTTCAATATAAATTTCTAAGAGTAAGAAGTATTCATAAAATCTATCACTGACTTTTTAAGCCACTTAAACCCTATCAGAGCATCATTTGTTCCAATTTAAAAATGAACTTTCCAACAAGAAATTATTAAAATTGTTAGCGAAGAGAGAAACATGGTATTTCTATAGACACATGCACACCCCACTCCACTCAATTTAAATAAGAAAATCACTCGGCCCTGAGAGCCTGCAAATCAATCGCTTGCCTTTCTAAAAGTCTCTCCTTGTTTTTTTAACTGGAAGATTGAGTGATTTCTTCTGTTAATTATTTTTTACTAAAGGGAGGCTCAGTGCTGTGAAAGAGAAATCGACTAAAAGCCTGAGGAGGGGAAAAAAAAGCCTAGCTTGTAATTTTAGAAGAGCTGTTGCTGTATTGTTAACCAAACTCTGCTTGCACTGGGCTCACGGAATCTGTGACCTATGAAAAATTGTTTGGGTTCCCCCCATTTATCTTGTTTGAGCAGTAAAGAAAATATAATTGAAGAAGTGGCATTGAAGAGTGTCCTGAGTTATTTGTTATCAAAAGTGGCATGCGGGAGGCTTTCCACATTAAATTTAAACGCAGGAAATGGCTAAATCTGTGACTGTAGGAAAGGGACAATTTTAGCTTACCTTTCCTTTGAAAGCTGTGGTAGAAAATGAAATGGATAGGGCTTACTGTTTTTTTTGTTTGTTTTTTAATTTTTATTTTTCACTTTGAATTTTTTCTGAAGGTGATGATAAAGGGGAGTTAAAGATTGGAAATGAGAAGTGACTTATGTTCATAAATAGTGAAATGTGATTATAGCAGTTGGCAAATGATGGATGGTGAGAAGGAATTCCTGCCCTCTGCTGTAGTGACTGCATCTTATCATCTAGGTGCTTGTTAGAAATGCAAATTCTCAGGGCCTCCGCGTTCATCTGATGCATTCCCAAGTAAGAAAACCCCTGGCTTGAGCAGCCTTCATAGATAAACTTTGCCTCGAAAGTACTTTCTTTACCTGCTCAAAATGCTTCTCTTCTGTTGTTGCTGGCACCTTCTTCAACATTTAGTGATTTCAGTAAGTAAAAGTAGAGACATACAGAGTTGAGATTCAGAATGGGAACGCTTGAGCTGATTACCTGTGTTTGACACTCGGCTGGGCCACTTGATGGCTGTGTAACGTTGAACAAGCTCCTTAACATCTTTGAATTTCAGCTTATGTGTAGGATTAGGAGGGTGCCATGATCTTCATATCATCCATCTCAGTAGGATTTAGGAGTACATGTGTTTAGAGGAACAGTGCTTGGGACCTAGTGTGACGGAAGAATTAGCTATTACTGTAACTATGATTATCAACAAAAATGATTTTGGAATAAACTATGTATTTAGTATTATAGTGGTGTATAAATAATACTATCTGATGGGATAAGGAATAATACTGAGGAGAAATTTCCTTAAGACCTCCTCAGGAAACAGATTCTTTTATGAAGAAGAAGGTCTTAACAATGGCTCCTTTTCCCTAAGTTGCCTAGCACTGAATCTTCAATCTGCTATACTTTGAGCACGTTCAACATGTAGTTATAAGGCAGTGTGTTTTCTTGTTTTCATAGATATAAAGGTTTCCATTAAAATATTCTACCATATTTCATCAGTAATCCAAATAAAAGGGTTATATGGTAAAATAGATCATGGGCAAGTGTATGGCATGATTGTAGATTTTTTGAGGGGTTAGTAGTAATACTCATCTATAGGCATATTTTTGACAAGTTCAGTCAAATTCAAACAGAACTTCAGTGTACAATCTCCATGCATAGTGTTGTGGCTATAAAGACGGATGAAAGATAGTCTATGTTATCAAGATTCTTATGTGTCATTTTCCCAAATAATTGTTATATTTGGCTTATTTGTTTGATTATTGAATTAAGAGAGGTGGATTTGTTCCAGAATGTATTTGAATAAACTATCTTTTGATGTGAAATTTTGGCATTGATAAGGGAGTTAACTTTTAGAGCTGAAAAAATAGAATGCTCATGTCGAAAGTCTAAGGTTTCCTAGTGAAAATAAGGCATTTTTTTCAGCGTTCTCGTTGAATCCATTCAGAGTTCATTATTATTGATCTTTATGTTTCTTTCACAAATTTCAGAGTTGAGAAGTGGATCTGGAGCCATTTAGGGTTTGTGTGGACAGTTATTTCTTATCTGAATGTAAGCATGATCCTTCACACTTTATCATCTGGTTTTCTACACTAACTACATGTGTGTCATAACCACTTGTGGAATTTTAAAACATTCAAAACCTTGGAGTTTATTTCTGGATGTTTTGTTGATCATGTTCTGCCATGATTTCTAATGGACATTAAGATTGAGAAATTCTGCATTATTCTTGATTTCTGTTATATGCGGTCTTCTAAAACTGTATGAGAAGAAATTAGGTCATTGCACTCACATTTTAATGTGTGTGCAAATCACATGAGCACCTTGTTAAAATGTGGGTAGGTCCTGGGGCTCTGCATTTCTATGAAGTTCACAGTAATGCAGATGCTGCTGCAGGCTTTTGGACCACACTTTTGAGTAATTGAGAACTAAATGATTTGCCTTTTGTTTGGAAAACAATACCATAACATGACTGTAAGTACGGAAATCCTGATGCCCACTGTTGAATCTAGATTTCCCACATCTTTCCCCTGCCTCTTTTATAAAAATCAAGAAAGAATATTATGACTTGCTAAATAACTGCCCTTTTGTTCTTTGCATGATTTACATATTACCAAGACAAAAAATACTTTGTAGTATAGAAAGGATTTTGCGACCATGGTTCACCTCCTTAATGGAATTCTGGAAATTAGTGTTCTGGTTGAAAAAAAAAAAAAGTCCGGAGGAGTAATACTAGAAGCAATGAGCAGTTAAAGGTGAGAAAGAATATGTGCATGACTATCCAGATACAGTTATATCTGTGTGGTTATAATCATTTCCTATTAACAGAATTGGCAACTAAAGATATCCACCTGTTAATCTCACTTGTTAAGAGAATCTTATTAGTCTCTTCTTGCATTGCTGTAAAGAAATACCTGAAACAGAGTAATTCAATAAGAAAAGAGGTTTAATTCACTCATGGTTCTGCATGCTGTTCAGGAAGGCTGATGCTGGCATCAGCTTGGAATCTGGGAGGCCTCAGGAAACTTACAATTATGGCAGAAGGCAAAGGGGAGCAGGTGTGTCACATGGCCAGAGGAGGAGCAAGGAAGGGGGAGGTCCTACATACTTTTAAATGACCAGATCTCATGAGAACTCATTGTCAGGAGGACAGCACCAAGAGGGATGGTGAAAAACTATTCATGAGAAAACCACCCCCATAATCTAATCACTGCCCACCAGGCCCCATCTCCAGCATTGAGGGTTACATTTCAATATGAGATTTGGGGTAAATATCCAAACTACAGCAAGAGTTAACTAAAAGTAGGCTCTAGATATACAGTAGGTTATCAATAAATAGTGGTTATCCTGATTATTGTTAGTATTTCATAAATGATGGCAATGCTCATTTTTTTCCCCAAGATTCTTTTAAGGGTGTGTTCTCAGTTTTGGTTACAATATCAGGAAAAAAAAAATGCATTCTGGAGAAAAATTCCCAGAGAGAAGCAAAGTCTTTAAGGAATAGAACTGAAAGAAAATATCCTAAAAACATTTTTCAAAAAAAGTAAAGTTGATTATTTGTGTTAAGTAAACACATCCAAAAGAAATACTTATTTGTTGGTAACACTCTGACATTTCATTAATCCTAGATAAGTCTCTCTAAATTTACTGATGCATGTATTTCATTTTCAAATATCTCATTAGCTCCTCTTTATGGATTAAATGTTGATGTTCACTA